CAAAGCACGCCGGTGACAGCAATTAAAACATTGCGCCACCACTACTGTTGTGCAAACAGTTGTAGTAAAAGCCATACATCTGATTCTCCATCGCAGTAGGCTTTCCACACATTTGTTATGTCAACTTTCACGAGCGTCTCCGTACAGACTATGCATCAAATAAATCATGATACAATAATCTTTATGAAAACAAAGTGTCGTGATTTGCTAGTAGGCAGCATACTGAAAGATCGCTCAGGTGAATTTTCTTGACCAGCGAAAGTTTAACCCGCAAGGCAGTGGGGCGATGAGAAAACCGCAGTCCACCAGCAGCCGAGGCATGACAAAATTCACAGAACCATTAGGTACAGTAGGTGTCTCGCGCCTTCCAGGTTGGAATCATAAAGACTCCGCAATTGGTTGATTGAAGACATTGAAGAATATGGCTGCAAGCCGACAGCAATGGCGTTGTTGTTGTCGTTTATGAATAGTCCAGAATGCTTGAAACAGTTTGTATACAGAGTTGTGTGTGTGCGCTCTCTGAGCGTTGACCACAGAGGTTCACCTTCTCTCTCCCCTCCCTCAAAATAGCTCCAATTTGGATATTACCACTAACCTTGTATGCGTTGCAAGTTTCGCAGCAATCATTGAAGTTCGCCTCAATGTATTTCGCTGCACGATGATGATGAGCCGGTGTCCAGCTCATCGGAACATACACCCTTTGGACGGGCCAATAGAGCCGATGACCACTGCCCCAAACAGAAATGTTAGTGATTCGTACGTCTAATCTTAGATAGTCTGGAACCAGAGTCACGTTAAACTTGCCTAAAAGGATCGGTTTTCGGAAAAGACCTTACACAACTGGTTGAACGCTATGGCCTTCAACCGATTGACTTCATAATGCAGTCATTGAGTTGTCAAAATAAGCCCCACCCACCGGCAAATTCTGAGAGAAAAGTTTCAAATGCAGGGATGAATACAACTGGCGCAACCAGTTCTACCATTGGCTCACATTATCCCGATAAATACTGCTATGTGAGGCGAAAAGTATACTGTGCGCTCTTGGATTCACCGGTTCGTTCTTTTGGCGGTCCTAGTCTCATCATCTGGGTGGGGCAATGTACATGCCACAATATGGTTGAAATACAATAAACGTCGGAGGTGGGTATCTAGGGTTAAGGCTGGTCACCCATTTCTTTTGCACCTCGCAAGACGCTCCCATACGATCAACCGTCTCAAATGGCCTCTGCGGGAGAAGCCCTACTCACTGCCTTCTCGCGGTGGTTTTCCCATCAAAGTGAGAGGACGAAAAGCCGACATCCGTCTAAGTTCAGACTATATGCCAAACAAACCGCGGTACAATAATCTTTATACAAAGAAAAACATTCCACGATTTGCATGTGAGCGGAATACCGCTAGGTTACTTAGGCCTAGGCAGGTGGATTTTCTTGGAGAATCCGCAACCAGAGCCTTCGGTTAGCCACAGACTGACCAGCGAAGCAGCGGGACGGTGTGCGAAAACCGCAATCTATTGGGGACCGGTGCCCAGTTGGACGGGGTCAAACTTCAAGGTCCCCAATCGAGCTGGTGACCATTGCCACAAACAAGAAGTTGTGTATGTGGTTCGTACGCCTCCTTTTGGTTGGTTTGGAA